CTGAAAAGAAAAATACAGTACAGCCTTCGACTTCGACGCCTCTTCAGGACGCTAAAAACAAATTACTTTAAAAGAAACTTTGCTGAAGAATCAAAAATGGTGTACTACTTCTAATACTAAATCTACGGAAATTGACAGATTAATTTCTGAAATGATTGCTTTACAAGATCTCAAAAAAATACTGAATAATGTTTTAAATAAAAAAATCTCTCCTGTCACCACTTCTGACCCTGCCTCCGCCAGACTCCGCCTCCGGTTCCGACTTCGGTTCCAACGCCGATAAATCAAATTTAAAAACTCCGACTCCGTCTTCGGTTACGATATAATACCTCCGGTACATCCCTAATTTAAATTGCAATTTGACGGCCAACAAAGTGATCCTGTAAGGGTTCCATTATTTTTCTTTTGAGGTATGGAACCCTTAAAATTGAAGTAAAAATATACATGCATAGCAAAAATTCATAATATATATTCATCTTGCTTAAAAGGTGGGAATATTGAACAAAAATCACGTTGATTTGTATATTTTAATGAATCCTTTGATTTCCCCAGTAAATGTTATCAATTTATTGCATCGTACGGAACATTAAATAATCATCACTCAACTATTTTCTTGTACTAGAAGATTTGGATCCAAGAATGATAAGATTCTTTAAAGGATCTATCAAATTTAAATAAACTATTCACTTTCACAATTTAACTCGCAATATAAGCACTGTTTTAAAACATTTTGTCTTAAAATATATAGCCCAAACGCATAAATAATAGTAATAAAATTAGAAATAAAGACACAAGTAAATTTCCTAGTTTTCTCCACACAACGATAAGATAATTATTTTTACAACAAAATTATTGAGGACTTTAATACATCAATTGTTTTCATCTCGCGCGTCGCAAGCGCCGAAGGCGCCGCCGCGGCGTGCGGGGAATCTGTTCTGGGCGGTCTGGCCCACTTCAGACGTCTCGGGTTCGCGTCTCGTGTACGAACGAGACGGTCGTTTGGGTCGTGCCCCCTCCGCTTCTTCACACGTCGCCCTCGGCGCGGTCAAGCCCACCGGGTGAGACCCATGAGGGAGGCCCATTGAACGACCTGCGAGCGGGCGGGGGTAGTGTCTTTTCCGGGGGTGGGTGCGAAACTTGGTTTTTCGGACTGCCCGAACTTTTTCACAAAGTCCGTGAGCAAGTCCGAAAGCTGGTGCAGCAGGCGGGCTGTCGCTTCTTGGGCGGGCGGCGGCGGGTCTTGGTTTGCGGTGTGTTCCTCTCTGGGTAGCAGGGCGGCGGGGGACGTGTCCGTCGGCGATGCGTTGCTCGCTCGACGGGGTTTTCGGCGGCGGCGTTTTGAGCGACTGGTGTGCGAGGGAGAAGCGTTCGCGGGGGCCATTAACTCCACGTTAAGCGTGTGCTCGCTCACCTCGGTGGGCTGCTGGATTGGCTCGGTGGGCGGGCGGCCTGGGCGGGCGGCCTGTGCGGGCCACTGTTGTGGCGCGTCGGTTGCTCGCCTCGCGGTGTTTCGCGGGGCACGCGCTGTGGTTTTTAATACATCACATAGATTTTCTTATTTTATTTAGGACATGCTTAGACTGTGTGCGAACTTGCTGGTCGTACTGAGAGTACTGCATAGTAAAGAAAAATAAATCTCATCGGCGATAACAGGACAATTCAGAATGAACTTCACTTAGGTAAGTGCGTTTGATCATTCAATTATTTTTAATTAAGCTATTTCTTACTTACTGGATTTATATTTTTTTATATTAATATTGTCTTAACTTTAAGGCGCTTTGCAGACGACGGGGCGGTGCGGGCCGGTCAATTTCGCCGCGAACGATAGCACAATGTGAATCCTATATTACAAACGCACACAGAGGGCAAAAGGACCGCGCCGCAGGTGCGTGAAGCAATAAAGACCGAGTCTGCCCGTCGATGTCTGCGGCTGCCCGCGCCGCGTACACAAAGCACACGACGGGCAGAGGCAGTCAGTTCAGTACGTTCGTTCTAGTGAATAGTCCATCACTAAAAAGCGCGTGGCGCGGACTGAGCTGACCGCCCCGTGCCGCCGTCTGCGTTACTGCATATAAACTGGTTTGTATGATCCACGGCGGGCAGCCGCGGACATGCCGCGCCGTGACTGCCCGCCGGGCACCTGCGGCGCGGTCTTTTTGCCCTCTGTGTGCGTTTGAAGTATAGGATTCACTTTGTGCTATTACTCGCGGCGAAATTGACCGGCCCGCCCCACCCCGTCGTCTGCAAAACGCCTTAGTGATGGACTATTCACTAGAACGAACGTCCTGAACTGACCGCCTCTGCCCGTCGTGTGCTTTGTGTACGCGGCGCGGGCAGCCGCAGACATCGACGGGCAGACGTGGTTTTTATTGCTTCGCGGACAAAATGCCCGCCCCGCCCCGTCGTCTGTGGTCCACGGCGGGCAGCCGCGGACATGCCGCGCCGTCAGTGCCCGCCGGGCACCTGCGGCGCGGTCTTTTTGCCCTCTGTGTGCGTTTATAATATGGGATTCACTTTGTGCTATCGTTCGCGGCGAAATTGACCGGCCCGCTCCGCCCCGCCGTTTGCAAAGCGCCTAACAGCCTTTTGGTCCAATCGTTCTTAAATTATGCGCGCACGTAAATTATTTTTTATTTAATGTTGAGGGTAGAGGCAACAGTGACACTGGCCGTAATTAATTCGAATTTAAAAATAAATAAGTGCACAGAGGACCATAAAAAGTGTTAAATCTTGTAAAGTGCGTCTCATCTCACGTTATAATATCAAAGACTGCAGTTTGTGACCAGGTTAACCAGTGAAAAAATGTAAACAGTGGTTGTCAAGGAAGTTAATCGTAATTTTTTACATATTAAATACCTCGCTAACAGTGCAAAAATAATACTAGGTTTCAAGATTCATTGATCTATTGAACAGTCAGACTTTAAATGACCTTTTAACGACGTTGTCGTACCTACCTTTCCCTATACGTCTTCATACACAGTTTACACTTTGCCGAATCTGAATTAACTTCAATGAAGTAGTTCCAAATACAACTTTATTTTGGACCTTGCTGAGTTTCTTGCCAGTTCTTCTCTTAGGAACCGATGACGTATCTTTAGACTTTCATGAGTGCTTGTAACGTAATCTAACCGAGTTTTAGTTTGAAGGCGCGTCAGAACATTGTTCGAAAACATAAATAAGAGGTGTGGCCTAAATGTTTTGTTGAGCAAATACACTTGAACCTTGTTTGCCGGAGTTTGTGGAAAACATCCCCCGCGTGTGTCTGCTGGCGGGAAGAATCGTTCATTTTATGTTTGATTTTGGCGTAGGAAGTCGTGTTTTATTGTGGCTATCATGATGGAGTGCATTGTGAAATGGAATCCAGAGATAACAGGTGTCCGTGATGCTAGCGTACCCACGATCAATATACGGTTTTTCGTTATGCCATTAAATACTGCGTAAATAGTGCCAAATTAGTGTAAAAATAATAAAAATAGTGCCTCTCTAATTTAAGAAATAAAGACCATTTTTACTGTGTACGCTACCATGACGTCAAGCTAGCGTATCCATGGCCGACCCCAAGAACGGCATATATTTAAGCAACGAAATTGACACACAAAAATAGTTCGCAAATAGTGTCCTGGCTTTACAAAATTTCATAAAAAAATACTCTTAAAGGACCAAAGATATTGAACTAAACATTCTTAGCTGGCGTCACCCTGGCGTACCCATAATAGTTCTCATAGAAAATTAACTTTTCTCGTTATCAATTCTATATGTATAAATAGCGTGTCAAATAATGCCTCTAACAGAAAAAGTATTTTATGTGAATCCGCATCACAGCAATACATAAAGAGGATGTTAAATTCTAGGAACAAATGTATTGTAGTACAGTTACACACAAAATCAATTTATGCACTAAGAGATTATCTATATACGTATTTTTACTAAAATAAATAGGTACTTTTTATAAAAAGATATTATATTTCAATTCGAATTCACCAATCATAAATACATATAAGAATTTCAACCTACCTACTAAGTACCTTACTTACCTACTATACTACGAAAATATTATCACTTCTGTACATGACTGTACTTCATATATAAAAATAATTTAATTCCTCTTTTTATATTGTTTTACTGCGTATTAACATAAAATACTTTTACTGTTAGAGGCACTATTTGACACACTATTTATACATATAGAATTGATAACGAGAAAAGTTAATTTTCTATGAGAATTATTATGGGTACGCCAGGTTGACGCCAGCTAAGAATGTTTAGTTCAATATCTTTGGTCCTTTAAGAGTATTGATTATGAAATTTTGTAAAGCCAGGGCACTATTTGCGAACTATTTTTGTGTGTCAATTTCGTTGCTTAAATATATGCCGTTCTTGGGGTCGGCCATGGGTACGCTAGCTTGACGTCATGGTAGCGTACACAGTAAAAATGGTCTTTATTTCTTAAATTAAAGAGGCACTATTTTTATTATTTTTACACTAATTTGGCACTATTTACGCAGTATTTAATGGCATAACGAAAAACCGTATATTGTATATTGATCGTGGGTACGCTAGCATCACGGACACGATAACAGTGGCATTTATCATGTTGCTCCGTGAAAAGTCCGTAATTTAGGATGCAACTTAATTCTGTAATTTAGAAAGCAAAAAAAAAGAGAACTGAATGCACTACAGCCGAAACAATGTTCACGTGTTCTTCGTCGATGCACATTTTTTCAAATGCGAAGTTTTGGTAAAAAACTATGTTTACTATACATTGATAAAGTCGCAGCAGACGGTCGTTTGTTCAAAAGGATGCGCAGTAGACACGCCTTTATACATTATACTCGAGTCAAATCAGGTCATTGCCTCAAAGATAAATGATAACCTTAGATTATTTTTATTTGATCTAAGATGATAATAGTTTCTAGCACTACTACGATTAGATTTCAGCCCTTTTAGACAACAACTGCCTACTTTTAAAAATATTAAGTAACATTTAATTCTGCGGTAAAATGAACAGTGACACTAAGGATTATTCTTACGAAATAAAGAGGTTGGACCCGGAGGAGCACACGGAAGTGTTTAAACTGTTTAATGGAGGTAACAATTTCATATTTATTAGCATTTTTTTGCTGAAAAGTTTTCATTTTATTATTTTTTGTGGCTTTAATTTATGTAATATTCAAACTCTACATCAAAATCTATGAGTGAACAATCACCCCTATTTCCCTACCCATATGGTAGGATTTTTGTTCCCAAATTTATCTAGTACTAGCTTTGAGTATACTCTATGCAATAAAAGTGTAGGGTTCTGTAGATATTTTATTGTGTTTTTTTTTAATTGTTCTTTTAAATTTATTTTTCAATTCTTGGTTTTACGTGATATAAGCAAGCAATAACTTCATCTAACGCAAAGGACAAGTTATGTGACTGAAAACATTTCATTTTTAGCAGCTCAGCTGTTCACTACAAAATAAAGCATATCGGCCCAAAATGTCGGGCGTTAAATTCTTAATCAGCGAGAAATCGGCTAATCAGTAAAAAACATGAAAACTTATTTTTATGGCAAATCTTCAATTTGTTGCAATCTTTGTTCTAATGTTCACATTACCGTCTTTACATTTAATTTCCGCATGATCTAAATTGAAAACAGTTAAAAATTAATGAAAATAGTCAAACTATTACAGATTTATTTTATTTCAAGTAACAAAGACTCATATTATACATAATATATTAATTAACTATTTATTATTATTGATTTATTAAATTAAAATATTTTCTGAGCATTCACTAAAATCAAAATTGAATTGCAATATTTAAAATATGTCAATAAAATTAAATAAAACTTATAAAACTAAAGAAACACAACAAAATGTTATTAAACTGGTCTGCCACAGTGTGCAATGTGCAGTCTACAGCAGTGGTTGTTATATGGAATGTCTCCTAGCACATCCAGCATGCTATTGGCACTCCCACGCATTCGCCGCACCAAAGAAGCGCCGCGCTTGCGCATAATGGCATAAAAACAATCTGTGCGAGCTTCCGCAAACATTGTCGAGTGGAGATAAAAATACTGCCACTATTTATAATAATAATTGGCAATGTTACAGCAAATCAACTAAATTTCTTTTCAAACACAAGTTGTTGTATTCATCTGTTGGCTGTCAGCAAGGCGATCCTCTTGGGCCCCCTATTTTTAGTTTGTATAGTTAAACTATATCTGTTATTGATTCACTAAATTCAAAATTTAATCAAAAGTTCGAAGGAACCTCTCGACCTCACCTCACGTCGAGTAACGTTTAGCTTACTCGTGCCATGACTTCACATAACGTTAAATGATGTCACACAACGTGACATGACATGACGTCACACTTTTTCTTGCGTGCAGCCGGTTTTCATCGATTTATAAGACGCTATCACGTCAAAATATGCATGGAATACCAAAACAAAAGTGTATTATGTAATTACACTTTTAAACAAACGGCAGATGGAACGCACAACACATGCAAGTACGGCCATTAAAGCAAATATGAAGTCAAAAGCGAATACGAACTCGCGTCAGTACTCTATAACGCATTGTGTTGTGAATACGTTCCCTGAACTTATCAAACCTGCAACTGTTCACAAAGACAAAACAGTTTTTACTTTTGACTTTGTATTTCCTATGATGCTCACACTTGCGGGTTCCGTGCGATCCATCTGCCTTTTGTTCTGATATCTGAGACCTTTATTATAACTACTCGTATAAGCTCTATGAATATTAATAGTGCATACGAGGGTTCATAGTGCTAGACACTAATATAAAACCATAATTTATTTATTTAGAGGCAGGTGTAATCGAAGACTATGTACGTGTCGGTCCGAAGGGTTACTGGTTTCCACTTGGGTTCGCTGAGTTGGCCCCCAAAATCTACAATATGGAAGTCAGAACTGATGACGTTTGGGTGATGTCATTTCCAAAATCAGGTGAGGAGACACTTTATTAAAATGTTTCTTTGTATGGCATAGAAGTTCTTTATATACTGAGTAAGACAGGTGTAGAGCTTTAACTAAAACAATCTATCCATAATATAGTCGTTTAAAATTCATAGATTTGTGATCAGGTCAATCAGTTGAATTGTATCAATCGATTGTTGTGTATGCTTGTAATTGGTCTGCATATAAAAAAACTGTATAGTACCCGACCCATTCATTAATGTATGAATATGTGTGACTGTTAGCATGCCTAAATAAATAAATAAACTAATGTTTATGAAAAATTTAAATATTGTTTTTGATCAAAGCAGACTAAAACACAGCAAATGATTTAATGAGTGATAATGTTTTATTGACTGCATGCGCACATTCTTGGTACACTAGTTTTTTTAATTGAAAGGTAAAGGAAAATTACAGTTTATTTGACTTCAAAAATTCTTACTTGAGACCAGTAGGTATGAACGAAAAAATACTTAATCATGTCAACTCATATGGTATTATACAGGATCACCGCAAGCACTGGCACTAGGTAAAAATATCTGGCGCCGCGGATGCGCAAGATTACCAGAACACACACACACACACACATAACATATAATTATCTCTTTCTGCTTTTTAGATATTTCCGTCGGAACAACTTACTTGGCACTTTCAATTTCAACCCCGCTCTCCCTTATCACATAGTTTCTCAAACTAATAATACCTGTGTACTCTCAAATTATGTAATGGGCATCGGGCACGGGCCATCTCTATGAACGGAATAGGCAGAACTGCCCTTATAGCCAACTAAGAGGACCCATTGCAAATTGGTGTTAACGACTACAGATGCAGCCAGCAGGCCTATTACATAATATATTGCTTACATAAGCAATAACAACTTGCGATCTAAACGCGACCTTATTACCTTATATTTTGTTAACCAAGGTCTTTTCTGGGTTTAAATTGTAATAACTTTTGATAGAGTACATAAATTTTGATGAAACCAAAATTAAATGTTACGTGCAGACATATTCCATTAGTAAAAAAATTAACCGGGTGATTGGTGACAAAACTGATTTGTATTGCCTAATTCAACTACATGGAGAGCTACCTTTAAACGACGCAGCAACCATTTTCTCCAGTTTTTGAAAATTGCAGTAGTGGTTCTTCTTACAGAAATTAATGAACTTTCAGATGAGCATTAATTTTTTTAAGAGGTCAACTATACTGGTTGTTTCAGGGCCGATCTTTCAGATGAGCATTGGTTTTTTCAGGAGGTCGCTCATTTCTTATTTTTGGGGGCTCTTCTCATGCTGATAATTCCAGTCATAAGGGATTGCAGCACTGCATTTTCGTTAAGTCCTACTCCTCCCCTATATTGAGGAAGAAATGAAACCTGGGAATCTTATCATTCTAGAAACCGTATCATTATTGATTTTTATTTTCATTACAGCATCTTCATCTCGTGTTCTCCTATTAATGACGCGTCTAACTATACTATATCTCATCTAGAAATTTTATCATACTAGGTTTAGTGTCGTAGGCTCTCGTACTAAAGCATAACCTAAATAAAACCAATTACAATAATATTTAAACAGCATCGCGCGCATACTGACACCGCTTACAGAAAAAAATAACACAAAGATTAATATTAAGACTAAAGAAGATGAACTGGCCTTCTCATAGCGATCTTGTCTCTGGCTGAACTCTTGAAATCTTTCAATTCTCTGCCTCAATACAGGCATTATTTAGATTCAAGGGGTAGTAATTACATCACGACACCTGACGATACCAAAATAGCAAGATACAGTCATCTCCATCTACTAATATTTCTGTTTATCTTCCTCACAGGCACAACATGGATACAGGAGTTAGTATGGCAGGTAGAAAATAATTTTGACTACGCTAAAGCTGAAAATATTTCACTCTTGGAAAGATTTACGTTTATAGAGTAAGTGATTTATTTAGACACCTTTTTACTATACGATCAGCTACACAACTATACGCCATGTATAAAATATAGAGAACTATTGATACGTTAATTTAATAAATACAGTTCATTTCCTGCAGGGGTGCAATGTTATTTATTGGCAAGAAAGCTCAAACAGTACTTCAACGTAATGAAAAAGCCAAGGGTTTCCTGGACCTACTGAGCATGTCTTTCGATCAAGTTATGTCGTCGATGCCGTCGCCACGGTTTTTCAAGTCGCACCTGCCGCTGTCGCTGCTGCCGCCCGCGCTGCTGGACTCCTGCCGCGTGGTGCACGTGGCGCGCGACCCCAGGGACGTGGCCGTCTCCTTCTACCACCACTACCAGTTCTTTATAAGCACGGGCTTCACAGGCAGCTTCAAACAATTCTGGAATTTATTCATAGACAATAAAAGTGAGTACTTTAAGGGTACTTTGGACTTAAAGGCGTTTTAGTCACGCGACTGCAGCACTGCATGAGGACCCCGTTACAGAGAAGTTGTGGCATGCACATATGCACATGCTTGCGCTGCAGGCGCGCGTTTAACGTACAATCGAACAAACTATTTCCTGACCCCCTTGCCGATAATTGGCTTAAAAATGTCAAAAACGATAAAAACAGTTTTCTTCTTTAAAGAATATGTGATTGTGTGATTGCTTTGGACTTAAAAGCGTTTTGTCACGCGACTGCATGAGGACCCCGTCACAGAGAAGTTGTAGAATGCACATGCTTGCGCTGCAGGCGCGCGTTTAACGTACAAACGAACAAACTATTTCCTGACCCACTTGGCCGATAATTGGCTTAAAAATGTCAAAAACGACAGAAACAGTTTTCTTCTTTAAAGATTGTGTGATTGCTTTGGACTTAAAGGCGTTTTGTCACGCGACTGCAGCGCTGCATGAGGACCCCGTCACAGAGAAGTTGTAGCATGCACATATGCACATGCTTGCGCTGCAGGCACGCGTTTAACGTACAATCGAACAAACTATTTTCTGACCTACTTGGCCGATAATTGGTTTAAAAATGTCAAAAACGACAGAAACAGTTTTATTCTTTAAAGAATGTGTGATTGTGCGATTGCTTTGGACTTGAAGGCGTTTTGTCACGCGACTGCAGCGCTGCATGAGGACCCCGTTACAGATAAGTTGTAGCGTATGCACATGCTTGCGCTGCAGGCGCGCGTTTAACGTACAATCGAACAAACTATTTCCTGACCCACTTGGCCGATAATTGGCTTAAAAATGTCAAAAACGACAGAAACAGTTTTTTGGTTTTGTTGACTAAATTAATGCTAGACGCCGGCTTTGTGAAAGGTTTATGTGTAGGTATGTGTATTTCTCTAGACAATTTAAACCACAATTTTTCTGGAGTCTTTAACGATGTGTTTCTACATTTTCGTATAATACGATCATGATAATTATTATATTTATCATGAAATCTATTAGAAATCATGGTTTTATAATATAAATTTAGATTCAGGTTATTTCTTACGTGCTTCCGAATGTTTGTTTACGATTTTGTTGACATCATAGCAATAATCTATAGACTAAAATGGCCGACAGCGTTTTTGTATCTCCATGAAAAATCTATTTTAAAATTAAAGTTTTGTAGCTTCTAGGTAAAAAAAATATAATACATTTTTTTCGGTCTAATAGAACAATTATTAACCATTTAAAACATATTTCCAAAAAGTGTCAAGTAGCTTATTGGCTGTATGGATTAAACCCAAGGCCGTTAAAAAAAATGGTTGCCTGTAAAGTCGGTTTTACGGGCGAAGATTTTACGTGACAACGTCTTTTTCTCAGTAGAATATTTATTGATATGAATATAATTAAATTGCACAATAGGAACAAGGAATTGAATGAAAATAAGAATTGCACAAATTTTAACTATAGAAATATATTTTGTTTACTAAAACATTGTACATGTAAACTTAAACTCATCGTAACGTTACCGAGCGTTACACTTTTTCATAAGTGACTCCCAGCCGCAACCTAATTTAAGACGTTGTCACGTCAATAACTAACGTGAACATTACGTCTCAGAGAGGCGGCAAATTCTGTCATTTCAATTATGACTGTTCTGAAAATAAAAACGTTGTTTCCGTGGATTATATTCAAGCAAATTTCTGCCTCATTGACGCTGCTGTGTATCCACTCCACAGGCGTATACTTGTTAGCGCCTCTCTTAAGCTAGGGACAAACTGAGCCCACGTATGCAACGTATGTTACGTATTATGACATCTAAACTACGAAATTTGTATGCATGTTGTATTAAAACATATGACTTGGAAACACACTTGTCATAGGCAACGCTGTCACACGCGTCCCATGCTACGTTCGATCCATAGAGTATACTAGTATATCGATCTGTCGCACCAGATCGGCGTGGGAACGCGGAGGGGATTCATACGCTATCCCACGCGTACGACTAGTGAGTTTCTAGATCTTACGTTCGCAGAGCGTCAGACACCGATTGGACGTCTAGCGGGTTGTATTTACCTTGGATAAAAATGGGAGACGAACAACTCATAGATTTGGTTAGGCGACATGAAGCAATTAATAATGCTATGAATCTCCTCAAACTGTACTTTAGACATGCGGAAGTACATAAAGAATCGCTCTTCATTACATACCTATTTCTTTAATAATGTATGGTATTCACCAACATTTTAATTATCTAATGAACCCAATATGTTCTCTTAACTCTATTTTTGTTTTTTTTTGGCGCGGAAATATACATTTAAAAATAACAAACGTAATAAATCGTCTTCGAATTCACTGACAGACTCAGAAAACATTGTGCATCTGAAGATATTACAACAGCGTCTGATGTCAATATACGTCGTATACGTGGGCCAAGTGTGCACACCATCTCTCCCACGTTGCATTGCATGCGTTGCGTACGTGGGCTCAGTTTGTTCCTACCTTTACTATTGTTTATGGGACAGTAAGAAAGGTCAAGATCATATTTTTTTTAAACTAAATTAATCTCTTTTCCATATTTATGGGTTTTATTGTCATAAATAAATAAAAGCGACGTAAATCCAGTCCATACTAATATTATTAATAGGAAAGTGTGTCTGTCTGTTACTTCTTCACAGATAAACCGCTGACCCGATTGAGATAAAATTTGGTACAGTGATAGTTTGAGTCCCGGGACATTTTCATCCCGGAAAATTGTGAAGTTCCTGTGGCGCTCACAAAAAACTAACAATAATGCAAATGCGATATAATTTATAGGATTTATGCCGCTAAGATCGAGTATATTTGCAAAAAAATTTGTAAGACTAAGAATAAGTAGTAGTACAAAAAATATACAAATTTCTTTTTTTTTTATAATTATCAAGAGTTTTGTCTGTCACCTTACCTGCTTTTTTGAAATAATATGTAACCAAAACCCCTGAATCAAATACAATGAACTAAAAATGTATTTGAAGAGTGTTACTCGTCGGAGTAACATTAAGTATTTATTTTATTAACATCGGTGTACTCTTCCAAAAGTTACCTATTACAATTTTGCCCGGCAGAAATTCATACAAAATGTTTGAGTGCTGATAATAGATGGCGCTGATTGATTTCTACTTAGATATTTACCCTTCAAAACTGACTACAATCTTTATTGTTTCTTACTTTACCTGATCTCTCTAATTCAGTGTGCAGGATTTCCAGAGGCATTGGAAACAGAGCAGGTTCTTGATTAAGGTTACAAGCATGGACATATAAAAAAAGTTTTTTTTTATACGTCCATGGTTACAAGCTATTATGGAATATAAGCGCAGGATCAAACTTTATATTCCAAAATAGTTCGTAAGCATATTCAAAGACCTGCTGTGCAGTTACCAATCATGCATGGATCTCTTCACTTTTATGGTCGTACATAATATTTTTTTTATGAAAGCTACGCGTACCTTTAATTATTTAAACAGTAAGTCTGTTTAAAATTTATGAAAAAGCAGATTGGACAGAGAATAAGCTACTCATATCACTAATTCCACGCGTACAAACTCGCAGCAATAGTTAGTAAATAAATAAATGTTTGTTTTCTAGTTATAAACAAATCAAAGAGGAACAGTGTTGACTTACGTAATGGTAGTATTTTAGGTTCTATTAGTATTAACTGATTTCCATTAAAATGATTACAATGTTAATTTAAATAATGCTTACATATTTAAATTAATGAATTTCAGTTGACTGGACTCCATATTTCGAGAACGTGAAAGAATCGTGGCGCATGAGGGACCACCCTAATATGCTATTCCTGTTTTACGAAGATGCCTTGAGGGTGAGAATGAGTATTAATACTAATATCACCTACCAAGCGTAAGTAATGACGAAACGAGATAATTTTCCGCTGTCCGGGTGGATGCACTAGCCACTAGCATTTGTGGTAGTTCCTATAGCATATTTTTTTAATAAGAAGTTCCCAATTAGCCCTGATGAAACTGATTATTTCATTATTATAAATGTATATTATTAACCTCATACTTAATATTAAGACACTAATATTTATTCGTAAAGAATAAATTTCTTTTGACGTAACACATGTTTTCTTTTCTATCTCTGTGTTCATAAAAATGAATTTGATAGGTCAACATCATGTTTCTGAAGTGCAACCGTTTAAATGACTGAAATATCGGGAGCTCAAAACAAGTAAAACACGTGGTAAATATCCAGTTATTATAATATATATTTAATTACAATGTTTTAGTTTGCGAGAATTAAAAAGTAGGGAAATTAATGATTTAGCCTACAACCCTCAAATCACGCACACGCGGTAAGCAAGCGGCCATTGGCATGCTTCACTCACGATTAGACGAGGTTACGTCCGTCTTTTTTTAAAGTCCGTGGTTGAAACGTCATAAATACATATATTTTCGAATTTTATGTCAGTTTTGATCAAGAGTAAATGTTACAGACAGTATGACTAAGATCTTTATGAATGTGACATTTAAGGGAGGCGCTAATGTCTACGTTAATGATTGTAAATGAATATACAAAATTTGGCGTTTAAAAGTACGGCGGCGTTAGTTTCTATTTTCGCCACATTTATAAAGATCTTGGTCGCATCGTATCAAATGTGTTATTGAAAACTTTATCCAATTTTTCACAAATATAAATATATTTCCTTTATTGAAAAATAGTTTTATATGTAATAAGAAATCAATATTACAAATGAAAATAACGGTCAGTAAAAAAACAATAAGTCAAAATTGATAGACACGAAATCGGAAATGTCTGCTCGCTTCTCGGGTTCGAACGGTTGGCGGGTAAATGAGCAGTTGTTTTTTCTGACTTAATCTTGACAGTTCATATTACATTGTAATAGCAACATCTTTGGTCTAAATATTAGCTCTTAGGATGTATAAAGACATCTTGTCTGGACATCCTGTACGATAATAATCAATCTTAGGCGGGTCCCAAATCACAGAACGTGGCTGTACCTATCGCTCGCATCATGCCAGACCCACCATACCATACCACCAGGGGTAGGGTGGGATGAACCATACCACCGTATAGTCCAGGCAACGAATGCTCAAAAACAGGTATAGAGGGAAATGCTTGGAACACAATTTTTGACTTCGTAACTTTGTTAGGACTAGTTCAATCACATCAAAAGTCCCCGCCCGTAGCTCTTAAGCCGGGGGGAGGGGGGGGGGGGGGGATTGAAGGTCCCATTTTTAGGGTTTTCGCATATATCTCGAAAACTATGCATCCTAGCGACATGAGACTTTTTGAGAAAGTGAAAGCTGATTAAATTTGCTCATTCAGTCAAATTTTTTGATATCTTGTATAGTTTTCGAGATATCCGCTCTTGAAAGTCTGTAATTATGGAAAAAAAAAATTTGCTTCACATTTTTGCTCTATTTGACCGGATAACTCTTCAACAATGCACCCAAAAAATAAATGCCGGCCGTAGGGTTGTAGAGCATTAAATTATCTTCAATAATAGAAAGAATCGCCTTTTTTTTATTTAAGGACAAAATTGTTAGGTTAGTAGACGTATGGGGGCGGTACGGTGGGCACTAGGCCTCGTACTCAGCCCCCACGCGCGGGCCGTCCTGCGCACGTCTGCGGGGTCCCCGCGATACCCCGGGAGACCCCTGCCGCGGAGCCCTGGCAAGGCCGGGAGGCTGCTAGGTGCGGAGACGCGGAAGAATCCTTGGCTTGCGGGAGCCAGGTGTGAGGTCCATAAGTAAAAAAGAAAGTAAATTAGTGTCATTGAGAAACTGTAATTACCTAATAATAAGTGAAAGTCTCATGTCGCTAGGATGCATAGTTTTCGAGATATATGCGAAAAACCTAAAAATGGGACCTTCAAGCTAAGCTTTGTGGCAAATACCGTTACTATCACCACAAAAAATATAAAAATGGTTCAGAAAAATGATCCCAAGTATTAAAGAATATTTTGTGGATGGCACTTTCCATAGTTGCCCTGCACCTTTCGCTCAAATATATAATATTCATGGCGATGATGTCAGCAGTACCACAGAAACGACTACAGTGATGCCGCTAATTTTTGCCTTGATGTCAAACAGTAAAGAAAAGAGCTACGTGATTTTGTTCAATTTGATTTTGTCACAAATACCGGAGTGGAAACCATTAAAAATACACTGTGATTATGAAAAAGCGGCTATGAATGCAATTTTGAAAGTCTTTTCTAATTGCACTTTAAAGGGATGCTATTACCACACTGGGTACGCAACATATGGAAACTGCTAAATCGCCGAAGTTCCGCATTACGCATACAAAACCTGAGAGAAGAATCGTGGGAATCACGGTCGCCTTACCGCTTTTACCTGCCGATAAAATATTACTAGGACTAGATTATATTAAATTAAAATGCGATACCTTAAAACGGATGCATAAGTTCATAAGCTACATTGAATTTTTTTGGGTACGGGGGTTACTCCCGACGTATTCAGCATTTACGGTGAAAGACATCGAACGACAAATATTTTAGAGTCGTTTCATTCAAAATTGAATAAAATTCTTAACAAGAAGACAGCAACTTTAATGCGACCGTTAAATGTTCTACACAATATTTATAAAACAAAAGTTCCTCCTAAAAACGTCGAGCGGAACAATTTATTAATGATGATTTTATAACAAAAGTCCAAATGCAGTTAGTGCACAACGAAATCACCATTGGGTATGCGTTAGACAAATTAAGAACATAGATTATCATCTTTTAAGTTTTTCTGTTTAAGATAAATAACAAAATAAATCTGTTAGGTATATTTTTTTCTTTTTTTCCATCAAATCCCAGCACTACAACGGTGGTATGGTTCAGTCCCACTCTACCCCCAGGGGTATGGCTAGGGGTATAGTGGGTCTGACATGGCTCGCATGATATCGATTCCGACCTATTCCTAGATAAAGGGTACAGGCATGATCAGAATCAAAAACTGATTGAGCATTCACTTTGCATTTTTTACTAAATAATTGAAAACTTATAAATTCTTAATGCATTAGATTTTGTTGGAATTGTCCTAAATTACCTATTTTGACGTAGGAAGAACATTATATAAGTGACACCCATAGTGTCACTTATATTGATAGTTATATATTTAATATTTTATGACAGTCACTGTTGTTCGAACAAGGTATTTTTGCCAACAGGACAACAGTATAATTTACTTTATGTTAGGACCTGCCGTCAACGGTAAAGAGCGTGGCTGCATTCCTCGGGAAGGCGGTGACAGAGGAGCAGATCAGTCGGCTCTGCGATCATCTCGCCTTCGACAACTTCAAGAAAAATAAATCTGTCAACTTTGAAGTTTTCCGGGGCATGGATCTTACTAGTAAAGAAGGCACTTTTATGAGAAAAGGTAAGTTATACTTTGGAATAAATTCATTATATTTGTATAACGGACGGCGTGCGGCGCCGCGCTGTGCCATCACAGCACAGTTGTTGGCACAAGGAGACGTACGTGAGGGTGGCGAGTTAATCGATGACGTAGGTGACATTTTTAAAACACGAGTTCCTTAATAAAAAATGCAGCAGGCAGAGGCGACGGGTAGCTGGAGCCTTTGGCTAAGAAGTCACGGAGCGGTTTTTATTCGCACTCGTCGCGGCCGGCGGCGGCAGCGCTGTTATATTTCAAAACGTCGAGATCGCAGTTTTCGGTACCACAGCCGCCGCGGTTCCTAGAACGCTTGTAAACTTAACACGGATTCCGGAAAAAAGTACCAGGAGACCACCATACATGTCTAAGAGGTTATGAATATGGAGAAAGTAAGTCATATTTTATATTTGGTGATCACTATTTTTTTTTCTGTGTCATATCCAGAACGTTGTAGGTATGTATCTCCTGGTATTTTTTCTGGAAAAATGTTTTCTTTATATGGAAAAGGCGAACGGCGAAAAGTAAAATGAGAACATAGTTTAAATTAGGTAAATAAATAAACAAAAATTACAAATGCATCTAGAAGTAAATTGTTTTTTTTTGTTTACGTATACGAGCGAATTTAGTTCAAAATGAATATGGTAGTAACACGGGCTTTTTAATTTTTCCCTTCTAACCACTCGAACTGGATAAGCAAGAAGGGCGATAAAAATGCAGCGACAAAACGTAATATATTATATCATTTGAAAGCTTGTTTTTCATTATAATCTGAACAGATACTTTTAATTTTTAATTTATCTCCGATTAATTTTTAATCGTGTAGTAACGTCATATTTTTGTGAGTGGCAGCTGATAACGTCAACTAAATCACTATAACAAATATCAGTCATGCATACCTATGCGGAAGTGATTTAAAAAGCGAAAGAGTGTTATTATGAAATTTAGTACTTCATTATTAAATTTTAACTGAATTGTTAAGCATTATGAATCACGTAATATATAAATTAATTTGATAAATATTGCAATGAATAGCGCCCCACACTTTTTACCCGGCTGCGCAATGCAAGAGCGCGAAGCGCGACGCGCAGACAGGGTTATTTGTTTTTACCCGGCTGCGCAATGCAAGAGCGCGAAGCGCGACGCGCAGACAGGGTTATGTGTTTAACAGTCTATATATGTTTACCCGGCTGCGCAATACAAGAGCGCGAAGCGCGACGCGCAGTCAGGGTTATGTGTTTAACAGTCTTTATATGTATGTTTGTTCCTTTGTGGCACACTAGAGACCAAACGCCTGGACCGATTTTGATGATTCATACATCAATCGATTCGTCTCAATCATGGGAGTGCTACAAAAGATATGATAGTAATCAAAATTCAATATGGGCAAAATTAGGCGCCATATTGTGACGAAGTAAAAAAAAATAAGTTGACAAAATATGTCGAGTGGGGTATCACTGTCTAGATAATCAAAAATCATATTTAGGTTCCTAACACCATTTTTCATTTTATATGATTGTTTAGGATCTACAACGCTTTAAAGTTGTATATTAACCTCTTACGCTTTTAATTTCAATCTTACGTTTGTATAGATCTTTGTTACTCTTTCACCTAAAAAATACGGAATGGATTTTAATGAAACTTAATAGTAATATAGCTCATATACGATACTTACATATATATATATATATATATAATAATTTATGTAGTTATTGAGTGAATTGGCCAATATTTAACAATAAGTGTCACATAAGACGGAAAAAAATCTCCCATCTGCGAGCCATTTTGGCCTGCACTGCAAAAACAATAAAAGTTACATGAATGTAATGTAGAGTGAAAATGTATCTCTTAAATAGTTCTAAAAAAAAGTCCGTGACACCATATATCTATTTTTAATGTGTAAGTCATTACAGCTAGAATAGTGAATCAAAACTAAAATATTATTTGATATCTATTTCCAAAATGCACATTTTGTATTAACAAATCATTTTTGAAGTTATACTTCTTTAGGCGCGTTATGAAAAAATGATGAGAGTGAAATTTTAAGATGAACCAAAAACCACATCTTTATTTTTCAATGTTACTTTTATGTTATTATTGTAATAAAGTAACAGTTATAGGTATTCCTATTTATAATATTTATCCACATGTTTCTAGTTTGTATATTCGGAATACGTGTTTGAGTTTCATACAAGTGCAAATCACATATGTTCTAATAAATTATATTCAGTAGCGATTTTAATTGAATATTTTGATTATTTATTTATTTTTTCAAATTAAAACTTAACTTTATTGACTGTGTCCTTTTCCAGACTTTTTATTAATTTATTGTAATTAATTATTTGCATGCAATTAAAAACTAATTTTAAACGATGCCAAAGAAGGATAACTTCTCACGCGCCTACATAAGTACACGCACCCATTTTTATTTATCAAAACAAACACTTTAATCGCTTTTGATATTTAAAGACGATAAACTTTGCTTTTTACACTATGTCATTTCGACAAATATTTAAAAAGTTACGATGACAAAGTGATAGCGCGGTGTACTATGTAAAAGAAAAAAAAATGGGGTATTCGCAGTATCTGATCCTATACGAAGTACTAACATTAAAACTGTGATACAGTTCCTTAGTATTAAATGATGAAAAATATATTATCATAATAGGTATTTATGATTATTGAATTTTAATGAAAAACTCAGAATTTTACTGTTTTAATTTTTTTTAACGATATTACTTAATGTTACAAAAAAGGTTTACTTAATATAATGACAAATAACCCATTTTTCGCTAGTAAGTACATACTTATTGGAATCCCTGTATTTATTAATCAGCTCGCGATAATATTGGTTTTGCAATAATTCTGCAAAATTCAAAGTAAATAATGTAGATTTTTATAGGTAAATCACCCCTTTCATCACCCTACGCCTATAAGTATTGCGATGTTGTAGCTAAGAACCAAGTTCCCATCTACTTCTATATGGGAATTCATTAAATTCGATTTAGCTATTAGGGCACGGAAGCGCAACAAACAAACTCACTTTCGCATCTATAATATTATATTATACTTACTAGTGATCCACTCGGGCATTGTACGGGCGAAATTTATTTATCGGGATAAAATATAGCCTATTTCACTCGGACAAAATGTATTTAAATAAAGAAAAATGTTATAATAAATAATGTAGCTACCTTATGATGAATTAATATTTGAAACCGGTTCAGTAGTTTGACAGATTATTTGTTACAAACATACAAATCTTGCCTCTTTATAATATTAGTATAGATAGTTAGGATAAGATAAGTATTTAATTGATGAAAAGGATTTAAAAATAAAGTAAGTAATAGGTTTATTTGATTATATTTGTAAAAGTTACTTAGCATTTGTGCTTAACAGTGATACGCTATTCGGTATTTTTATAACAAAAAAAATTTGGAAAATAATTGCCATGACTGCACTACTGGGAGTACTCTTCATTCGAGCTTTACACTACCAATAGAAAAGGGTCGAACACAAAGTCTTTGACCTGTTAAATGTGAACGCTTTAAAAGAAAACTACAAAGAGAACTATAAATTGATAATAAATGAGATTGCTATGGTGCTCTACCTAACGTTATGAAAATTTTATTATGCACCTTTAGTTTAATCAAATATTATAAACTTTGCTTTGGTGATTGCATAATTATTTAATTTAGTGATCTAAGGCATTTGCCACCATTGTCCAAAACAACAGATGGGAATTACTTCTTTCTTCAACCTGCGACATAAACGTCATTGATTGGTATTGTATATAGGGTGATTAAAAACATTTGAAGTTAACTTCTGGCATCTACATATTGGGTTTCTGTGAATTATGTAGGTATATCAAATTATGAGACTAAGGACTGACACTGAATTTGTGTATATCACAATCTTAGACGTCCGGCATTGACATGACAATGCAGCCGTTGCCAATTTTAAATAGTCGACGAATAAAAGTAAATGAATTTTACATTTACTGCTAAACTATTAAAAAATAAATAAACAAAAGATGACTTTTTGAGTAAGTGCTAGTTTACTATAAAATTTATATACATTAGAGATATTTATGCAACGACTTGATTTAACTTCACACATTTTTGCGAAAATTGAGGCCCATCTGTAGCCTTGACCCCGCTGGTAAAGTCTTTATATGTCTTAATAAATCAATCTTTTAGACCGACGGAAGGTACTTAATAATTCCCGCGATATTAATTCCCTTTCTGAAGTAACAAGACTACGGTATATACCGTCTTAAAATACTAACTAAAAAGTGTGAAATAAAAAAGGTAAATTTATAAAATCAAAAAACCCGACTGCTTAATTATTCTTCAAATAAAAACTGAAAAGAAAAAAACAATTAATTGAAAAATATTATGTATTCTTGAATATCTAATGGGTCCCGACTGTTAAAGTAGCTTAGTTCCTTATGAACAGAATTATAGACTACTGGACTTGTTTTTTCTTTTCAGTTTTTATTTGAAGAATAATTAAGCAGTCGGGTTTTTTGATTTTTTAAATTTACCTTTTTTTCAGTTATACATATGTATATGTTAAAATAAACTATAAACATGGCTTACTCTATGGCTCAACTGAAGTAAACAGAGAGTATATATGTATCTTTAGCTCTTTAGTGCAGTAAATAAAAGCGTGTTTTTAGTTTTTTGGACTATTCATTTATTTTTTACCCGACTGCGCAATGCAAGAGCGCGAAGCGCGACGCGCAGACAGGGTATAGTGTTTAACAGTCTATATATGTATGTTTGTTCCTTTGTGGCACACTAGAGACCAAACGCCTGGATCGATTTTGAAGATTCATACATCAATCGATTCGTCTCAATCATGGGAGTGCTACTAAAGATATGATAGTAATCAAAATTTAATATGAAGACAATTAAGCGCCATATTGTGACGAAGTAAAAAAAAAAGTTGACAAAATATGTCGAGTAGGGTATCACTGTCTAGATAATTGAAAATCATGTTTAGGTTCCTAAAGCCATTTTTCATTTTATATGATTGTTTAGGATCTACAACGCTTTAAAGTTGTATATTAACCACTTGCGCTTTTAATTTCAAAAGTTTGTATGGATCTTTGTTACTCTTTCACCTAAAAAATACTGAATGGATTTTGATGAAACTTGACAGTAATATAGCTCATATATGATAATAACATATATATATATATATAATAATTTATGTAGTTATTGAGTGAATTGGCCAAAATATAACAATAATGCGGGAATACTAAGAGAAGAAATTTAATTTAGGTGTTTATAAACGTGGATAAAAAATAGGCGAAAAAGAAAAAAATGGGCTACTCACAGTATCTGATCCTATACGAAGTACTTACAATAAAACTGTGATACAGTTCCTTCTTATTAAATGATGAAAAATAAATTATCATAATAGGTATTAATGATTATTGAATTTTAATGTAAACTTCAGAATTATACTATTTTTAATTTTTTTGTAACGATATACATAATAAATAAATAATTCTAACACTCACACCAATTAGCCCAGCCCCAAAGTAAGCACTGTAAGGCTTGTGTTATGGGATACTAGGGTAACGAAAAGAATACATATACTGTACATATATAAGCATATTTATATAGAAATACATATTAAACATCCATGACTGGAGTACAAATGCTCGTATTCATCACACAAACATCTGCCCCCATCGGGATTCGAACCCGGGACCTCTCGAGTCGGCGACACCATGAAACCCGGCGTACAAACCACTCGGCTACGGAGGTCATCGATATTGCTTAATGATACAAAAAAGGTTTACTTAATATCATGACAAATAACCCATTTTTCGCTAGTAAGTACATACTTATTGGAATCGCTGTATTTATTAATCAGCTCGCGATAATATTGGTTTTGTAATAATTCTGCAAAATTCAAAGTAAATAATGTAGATTTTTATAGGTAAATCACCTCTTTCATCACCCTACACCTATAAGTATTGCGATGTTGTAGCTAAGCTAAGTAGGTATTTTTATGACAAAAAAAAATTTGAAAAATAATTGCCTTGATTGCACTACTGGGAGTACTCTTCATTCGAGCTTTACACTACCAATAAAAAAGGGTCGAACACAAAGTGTTTGACCTGTTAAATGTGAACGCTTTAAAAGAAAACTACAAAGAGAACTATAAATTAATAATAAATGAGATTGCTATGGTGCTCTACCTAACGTTATGAAAATTTTATTATGCGCCTTTACTTTAATCAAATATTATAAACTTTGCTTTAGTGATTGCATAATTATTTAATTTAGCGATCTAAGGCAGTTGCCACCATTGACCAACACAACAGACGGGAATTACTGCTTTCTTCAACCTGCGACATAAACGTCATTGTGGGTATTGTATATAGGGTGATTAACAACATTTGAAGTTAACTTCTGGCATCTAGATATTGGGTTTCTGTGAATTATGTAGGTATATCAAATTATGAGACTAGGATATGACACTGCATTTGTGTATATCACAATCTTAGAGCCGGACTTTGACATGGCAATGCAGCCACTGCCAATTTTAAATAGTCGACAAATAAAAGTAAATGAATAATTGTATATTTACTGCTAAACTACTAAAAAGAACAAACAAAAGATGACTTTTTGAATAAGTGTTAGTTTTCTATAAAATTTACATACATTAAATATTTATGTAACGACTTGATTTAACTTCACACATTTTTGAGAAAATTGAGGCCCATCTGTAGCCTTGACCCCGCTGGTAAAGTCTCTATATGTCTTAATAAATCAATATTTTAGACCACCGCAAGGTATATAATAATTCCCGCGATATTAATTCCCTTACTGAAGTAACAAGACTACGGTATATACCGCCTTAAAATACTAACTAACTAAAAAGTGTGAAATAAAAAAGGTAAATTTAAAAAATCAAAACACCTGACTGCGTAATTATACTTCAAATAAAAACTGAAAAAAAAAACAAGTCCAGTAGTCTATAATTCTGTTAATAAGGAACAAAGCTACTTTAACAGTCGGGACCCATTAGATATTCAAGAATACATAACATTTTTAAATGTTTTTCTTTTCAGTTTTTATTTGAAGTATAATTAAGCAGTTGGGTTTTGTGATTGTTTAAATTTACCTTTTTTTAATTTAACTATAACATTGGATGTTTTAATGTTGGCAATAAGCTAACTGTTTTAGAATCTCTAAAAGAGGTTTTAAAGCACGGGTGTAGATAAATATATTTAAATGTGCCAGGCAAGGCGGGCGGATGGCGCGAGTACTTCGACGAGGAGATGCTGCAGCAGGCGCAGCGGTGGATGGAGCACAACCTGCGGGACACGGACCTTACATTCCCTTCACTATAATAAACACGCTGTTTTGTTCGACTGTATAACTAGCAACTTAATTAAAATGATGATTTATTACTAATGGGCTATCGCGTATGAATCCATCGCTAAAGCTGCTTGTGTAGCATGAGGTCTCCGAAATGTCAAATGTCTTTGCTTGTGATTTATTTTTAATCTATGCAATGTTGTATAATATATTTTTCAATAACTCCGATTAATTATGGCAAATATGAGTTACAAAGCACTGGCTTTGAGACAAATTTATCTTTTAGAAACTTCTTCCGAACAAAATGGAACTGCGCAACACTGTGACATGGCTGATATGTTTACGCTACGGTTCTATTGTATTAAATATGCTTACAAAATTACATGTAAACTTGGCTTCACGCGCGTATTATCAAAGTTCAAAAGCCACACTTCAGGACCTCACTTAACAGTGGCGCCATGTGGTGACACATAAAACGGTAGCCCTACAGGTTCTTTTAACTAGCAACTTATATAGTTATAATTGTAAAAGACAGATGTTTGTAGTACAATGTCTTTCTTAGCAGTTCTTTAATCCAAAATGGAAAACAGTTTTTAATCTGTGAGGATAAACATGATATCGGTAACTACTTAATCAATAAAAAGTACAGTTTTATTTTTTTATTTTTCAATGTAATACCCTTCAAGTAAAATACATGTTTCACATCGTGAATATAAAGGCTTTTATACCGCGATTTATATTTAAAAGATATTGTTTTGACTTTTCTTCAAAATGGCTTTCTATTGCTGCCTTCATCTCACTGTCGTCTGCCAGGATTATCTCAGTCTCTAAATTGATAAAAAAAAATACATTTAAGCCCAAGCTAATTACCACCAAGTGCCAAGAAAACAGCCATTTTATATTTACTGGTATTATAGTTGAAAATATCAACTTCATTAAAGGACATGGTAAAGTTTTGTATGAGCGACTGCCCTAGCAATGTATAAATACTGTACTTAGTAATATTTAATGGTAAATGGCTGAATATTTATAATCTCTATGAAAAAAGGCTCGGGCACTTTTCATAAAGTCACAATCTTGAAAATTATGAAAAGTCCTACTACTTCATTACCTTACTACAGTTGATAAAAGATGTTGCCAATTATTTACATAGTCATCAATTTCGTATTTTCTTAGAAGCTTTCTTCCCATTTCTGTGATTAACTCTTCACAATATTAAAGGATTAATTATCATGCAGCCTTGTCGCAAGCCTGATCAGAATAGTAAAATCTATTATTTTAGGCCTTCAGTGATATGTTATAATAAAAATTAGGGCCAAATATGTCATAGTTTGAAGGAGTTTAGAAATAATATTGTTTATTTCGATATACTTGCACAAATATTTTTTGTGTTCATTTATTTTGTATAACGGAACATTTTGCTTTTTGAACAGACATGAAGTCAATTTTTATACTTTTAAATATTTGATTATTTCACGAAAGTTGTATGAGAATAATAAACACGTAATAATAATAATAAAAAAAAGTAAATTAACGGGCTAGTGCGAAATATTTATTACACGTTAAGGGCAGTTTCTTAGTCATGTCCTTTAATATTATATTATATGTCTTAAATATTGGCAGGGGTTTTTACTATTTATACAAAAACAAAAAAATCATAATTTTACTAAAAACCCACGAAAAAGATAATAGTTTTCTTATCTATTGTCACGTGACCCAAAACGCTTGGGATTGGCGGAGCCTAAAATGACGTCACACGCAAGTAAACTTCCGGTTAAAGTGACATTACATTGTCATTAGTCAATAGCGTGAGATCGCTATCTAAAACTTGTCAAACACCCTATTGGAAGATTATGCAAGCCGCAGTCAATGACGACCTCCGTGGCCGAGTGGTATGCTCGCGGGGTTTCAAGGTATCACCTACTCAGAGGTCCCAGGTTCGGATCCTGGTAGGGATAATAGGTTTGTGTGATGAATACAAGTACATTTGTACCTTAGTCATGGATGCTGATATGTTTTTCTAGATAAGTTTACTTTTATACCCAAACAGCAACAGATAGTTCTACAAAATACCATAGAACGTTTTGTAAAAACTTATCGATGGTGAAATAAATGGCCAGAGATAGAGCACCTACAAAGAAAGTGGCGAAATTATATCTCCACTAGCGGCCACCCGTGCCTTCCTCCGCGTTAACTTTAGTTTTTTAAAATCCCTCGGGAACCTATCACTTTTCCGGGATAAAAAGTAACCTATGTTTCAAGGTCATACACTATAAGCTAAAAGTAATTTTCACCATACCATTGTTGATAATTTTCGTGGGAAAATCGCCACGAAGATTGTGTCACGAAAATAACGATATTTAACATATTCAGATTATATGTCGTATTTAAAGACTTATCCGAACATAATATACATATAAAAAATCTCGTTGACATAAAGGTGTGACAATTCAAGGGTCCCGGGCTCGAATCCCGGTGGGGCCGATGCTCTGTGATAAATGCGACCATTTTTTACCTAAGTCATGGATGTTTGTATGATATTATGATATGTATTTCTTAATAAATATACTTATATGTTATGTATCTGTATATGTATTTTATCCGTTACCCTAGTATCCCATAACAAGTCTGCAGTTCTTATTTTAGGGCTAGGCTAATTGGAGTGAGTGTTAAGAAAAAAGTATAACCCATCTATTCTCATACTTTACTCATTAAAGTTACCTAGCACAATGCAATATTAAATATTCTGGATCTGTGTAACACATAAAGAAATATTTAAGGACAGTTTACAAGACACACACTAAAACAAGTTAAAATAACAGGGTTGTACATTAAAAATTGTAATGTGGCCTTAATTATAAACTTCCACGACAAGTATAAATCACTTGGAAGGATTTTTTATAAATTATTACAACATTCGCAAGAGTTATTTAAGAAGTTACGCAAGAAGCATCACAGAGAAAAATGATGCTAATACTTTAAAAAAAGGGGTTATTTATGATTAAAGGATTTCTAATAACATTCTCTTTAACTCAGTGAACTTAGAATTAATGTCTAATACAGAATTCTTGGAATGAGTTCCGAATTAACACTGCAATCTATTTAATGTAGAAAAAATTCCCAGATTGATCTTAAAAAAAAATATGGCGAAAACAATTTAAAACGAGAAAACCTAGCAATGTCACGAAGGAAAAAAATTAGCTCTAAAAGATGATTACAGTCTATGGTACCATTAACAATTTTGTGCAAAAACAATTGATTCAACAACTGCCGTATTTTTTGTAGACCTAGTATTTTTAAATGTGATAACCGTTCATTATAAGACGGCAGTAGTTTTACTAAATTGTGTTCAAATGCTAAATGCCACATGAAACGTTTTTGTACAGATTCAATGCGCTTTATATGGACTTCATAACGTGGAGACCATACCACGCTGCAATATTCCAAGGAGGAACGAATCAAGGCGTTATAAATGAGATATTTTTATTAAGGAAGCTTAAAGTTTTTTATATTTCTTATTATGAAACCAAGAGTTTTGAAGCAGTTATTAATTATATTATATCATGTTAAAATTTAATTTGTTATAAAAATGTATGCCTTAATCACGAATCTCAGAAACTTCTTGTATTATATTCTTCAATTTAGTATTTATACGGTAAATGATGTGTATTTCTAGTGAAGCGGATATAGTTGCATTTTTTGATAGTTAAGTACATTCGATTGGCATTGTACCAGATAACAAATCTATTTATATCCTCCTGTAGATGTAAACAAACGGATATGTCTCTTACTTGTCTTACAATTTTTAAGTCGTCGGCATATAAATAAAATGTACTGTGTCTGAAACACTGCGCTATGTCATTGATAAGAATTGAAAAATAGAGGTCCCAAATGAGATTGGATGGGCACAGCAGAGGAACATCAAATGACTATTTACCACAATTCTCAATTTTCTGTTAGCAAGATACGAAATGCACCACTCCAGAATGCTGCCATGAAAGCCAAACTGAGATTAAAGCTTCGTGACTAGAATGTGGTGGTCAACCCTATCGAGAGCCTTGCTGAAGTCATTGTAAATGACGTCAGTAGAGGCTCGTGAATCTACAGCAGTCAATAACTCAGTTACGTAACTAGCTAAATTGGTGTTTGTAGATCGAGAGTTGATAAACCGTGCTGCTGTGGTATAAGAAGTTATCTTTCGTGCCAATAGATAATCGGATACAGGAGATACTCCAGTACTTTGTTGAAAACTTTTGCATTTTCATTTTCGTTTGATAAAAGATCAGAAAGTCTTATGATTTGATTTTATTACATTCTCAATAAGTTAAATATATGTCTGATATATATATATATATATATACCTATATATATATACTAGCGGCCCGTCCCGGCTTCACACGGGTGTATTAAATACTTTGTAAATATAATGAATCAGCATTTATATCTAGAATACAAAGAAAAATTAACAACAAATAAACAAAAGGAAACAGTGGAAGAGCTTTTCACCATATAACGAAAAAACAATTTCACAAAAGCTACACAAACAAATTTGAAGGACGTAAATTCAATGAAAGAAAATTCAGTTCCACGTGCATCGCTTAGGGAACCTCGGTTTTCATTCTACGGCATTCAATTTTCGATTTTTTTAAATTTTCGAATACTGCTTACGTCACGTTCTATTGTGTCTTGCACTTGTTCTTTTTTTTAATATTGTATTGGTTCTGAAATGAGAAAGTCTGAAGCCACTTTTTGACGTGACAACGTCTTAAATTAGGTTGCGGCTGGGAGTCACTTATGAAAAAGTTGTAACGCTCGGTAACGTTACGATGAGTCTCGTAGCATGCTGGAACCCCGTAGCCGTGTAGCAAGTTTGCTACGAATCGTCGTAGCGTGGTTGCATGCTACGATGGTATTCACAAGCACAATGCATTGTAATATGTTTTTTTGACGTATTATATATATTTCTATAGTTAAAATTTGTGCAATTCTTATTTTCATTCAATTCCTTGTTCCTATTGTGCAATTTAATTAT